TACATCAGCCAACACATCTGGTACACGTGGGATCGCTACCTTCCTCCGTCCTCAATGGACATCCGGTGGCAAGATGAGACTGGAGACACTTTCACTCTCCACAATGAGGACCGCCTTGTCGAACTCCTTCATGAATATCGTCCTCATTGGACTGAAGGTCAAGAATTTGGCATTTTATTCCCTAGCAATATTCGATATTTCACGTCTCACTATCAGCCGTACATCATGCGTATGAGCTGCCATGAGGCTCTCCAAAACCGCAACATGCTTCCATAATGCGGACAAAAAGCCTTTTGCTGCTTCTTGCGTCCCTGTTTTCTTTTTCCTTCTCTTCCTGTTTCATTTCCATTTGTCACTTCATTTCCGGCACCTATTTTGACATTTTATAGCTCTTGGCTTCAGCTTTATCATGACCAAGCATGATTCCTTTCTTGCCGGTATCACTTCTCCTCGTGCACCGATGGGCATGCCACGACGACACTCCAGACTTCAGAGCCAATCTAGCAGTGATGCTACATCCTCCGGTCCAAGACCTTCACCTAGCAGTGTCACTGATACTCCGACCTGGCCATCCTTTCCAGGTACGGATCAGAGCGGCAGTTCATCTCACTACCGGTATACGGCTACGGCTCAGCCAGTACCCCTTCCTGATACCTCTGCCCATCAAAACCCAATACAGCCTGTACGTGAAGAGGCCTACCCACTCCAAACGGAGATCGAACAACAGCATCGAACGCTCCATACTCACATCTTCACAGAAGTTCGCTCTCCTCATCAACCGGGAGTCAGTCGCCTCATGGTGACGGAAGTGGACCGTTACGGTGTGCAACACAACCGTCAACCGGAGTTTTTCTTCAATGGGATTGTTGGTCACATCCGTGCTGACCGCTATGGATGGATAGACTCATGGGAGCAATCCACCCAACTTGCCAACTACTGGCGTCGTCACTTCAACATTCCTGAAGTGCACCATGAGCAGACCTCTTGGCAACATTATCCGCAAGAGTCTGACAATGCTGACCAACCGGAAGAAAGCCAAGAATCATTGCCGGGATCCGGGATGGAAGACACAGATTCCATCACCGCCAACGCCGGTGCCGCATCGGTACCAAGTCAGATCCACCAACTGGCTGCAGTCCTTTGGGACATTCTCAACAATGACAGGGAATCCAATGCGGCGATCCTCGAGAAGCTTGAGAATCCAGGAGATGACTTGAGCACCAATCCGGTCCAGGTCTTTACGGCAACAGACTTGGCCCACCTTGCCAGTCATTTAGCACAGACGACCCATATTCTGTCTCAGCAAGCTCAACAGATGGAAAGGTTGTCCGACATTGATGATGACTAAAGACCTGCTGAACTTCCTGCCGATGTCGTTCTGAGCTGACCGGATAATTCAAATGCAGATTTCCTCCCTGTATTTTGATTTTGCGTCAATCGCTGTTTCCTGCTTCAGGGCCTAGATAAGAGCTTCGCTAGCCACTCCGCAGCCGTCAAAACAGCCTCGCGGCAGCGAGGCGTGTGTGTGGAACATCTGAAAAGATGTAAAACTTCTATTTTGTAACTCGGACCTTTGTGTACCTGTTGTTTTCATTTCTGCTGACATGAGGTTTTTTCATTTTCGCAGGGGGTAGCGGCAGATCATTTGGGACCGCTACCAACGAAGACACCCATTTGATCTGGTGATACAGATTGGGACGCCAATCTGCGTACCTGCGCCATTTTTCACTTTCGTCCATGGCAACCGGCTAAGCCAAGTACCGGCATGTCGGTTTTCAACTTTTTTCAAACCAAACAACCGTACGGTTTTCGCAATCTGACTGAGCTGCATCAGAACCTGAAAACCCTTCGAGCAAGGACGTAGAATGATTTCCTTCGAGCAGTTTCTCACTTCCAATCATTCAACCCTTCCTGTCAGGTTTAACTGAAGTGTTTTTGCACGTACGATGCATTCCACATCAGTAATTCGATAAGATATTTCTGAGCAAGTGTGTGTGTGTGAACCATCTGTAAAGATGTAAAACCTCTTACTTAGCAGGGGGCGACAGGGTCGCTGCATGGCTGTCGCCAACGAAGCTCCATGCAGTTGACTAGGATATGGAGTCTGATCAACTCCACGTACCTGCTTCATTTACTCGTTATGGGACGTGGCTAACCCAAAGACCACCTTGCCGGTTCATTTGACTTTTTCGATTCAATGCACTGTTGTCGCAATCTGGTATTATGTTATTTTATTTTGGACTTCGCTGCATCTGAACCTTCTTCAGAGCAAGGACGTAGAAAATTTACTTCGCCATGAATTTCACGCTGGATCAACTAATCTTTCCTGTCAGACTTTAAGGGATTGTCGTGTGCACGTGAGATGCATTCCACAACAGTAATTCGCAATGATGTTTCTGAGCAAGTGTGTCATTCCTGCTGTGTACGTCAAGTTGGCAGGAACCCTTCGGGGAAAGCCTTTCCAGGCTAACAATTGACAGTAAAACGATGTCTGAATTTACACTTTTGAATTAGTAATTCGTCTAAGTAAAGTGAAACAGACGGCCTTTTTTCAAAGTTTCACCGGTCGATGTCGATGTGTTGAACTGCTGCCCGCTGTACCTGGGATCACCCTTTTCTTTTTCTTTTGCAGATCTGCATAGCTGGAAGCCACGTTAACATCCGTTTTTCAACGTTGCTCGAGAGTTTGACAGACAAGTTGCATCATGACATGGGTTCATATGGAGGCGTCAGGCATGCTTTAGGTGTGGTTCTTCTTTCTTTTGATGGTCGTTGGTGAGGTTCAATTGTGCACTTAATTCAGGGGTTGAACACTTAAGCCGTCTATAGGGTTGGAACTTGACAGCCGAGGGCCTTTGAGCCTTATCACGAATACTGCATGCGTTGTGGATGCATCATGTCATTAACTAGTTCCCCATGGGTCCCTTTTTCTTCCTTTTTCATGTGTTCTTGCGTTCTCCTCCCTCCAGGTAGGTTTGGCCCGTTGCGTGCTGAGGTTGTTGTAGGTTTGCGCCGTGTCAGGTTGGTTCAGGCGCTTCTGTCTTCCCCCTCCTCCGCTGGTCTTGTTCCGTTGTCCTTCGGCCTCCGTTTTTCTTTTCCCTTGCCTTTCCAGGGTTGCCCGTTTTGGGCTAGGTTTCATGTGTTGGTGTTTTCTCCTTCCCTCTTCTTTTGCGTTCCCCTCTTTGCGTCCTGGTTAAGTAACTTTCATCTCATTGTCATCTTCACCTCATTTTCATTGCCCTTCTTCTTCATTTTCATCTCATGGTCGGGACCTTAATTTCTCATCCTCCTGCGGGAGGGTGTGTGTGTGAACCATCTGTAAAGATGTAAAACCTCTTACTTAGCAGGGGGCGACAGGGTCGCTGCATGGCTGTCGCCAACGAAGCTCCATGCAGTTGACTAGGATATGGAGTCTGATCAACTCCACGTACCTGCTTCATTTACTCGTTACGGGACGTGGCTAACCCAAAGACCACCTTGCCGGTTCATTTGACTTTTTCGATTCAATGCACTGTTGTCGCAATCTGGTATTATGTTATTTTATTTTGGACTTCGCTGCATCTGAACCTTCTTCAGAGCAAGGACGTAGAAAATTTACTTCGCCATGAATTTCACGCTGGATCAACTAATCTTTCCTGTCAGACTTTAAGGGATTGTCTTGTGCACGTGAGATGCATTCCACAACAGTAATTCGCAATGATGTTTCTGAGCAAGTGTGTGTGTGTGTAACGACCGAATAGACGTAAAACCTCTGACTCTACTTGGAGGATCAGCCTTGTTAGTAAGTACTTATGATATTTACTATGTACTTGAGGCACTTGCTAAGTACTCAGTCGGCTTAGGCTAAGTTAGATAGCACACTTAGCTTTGAGCCACTTAGCGGACTTAGCTAAGTCTACTTAGCGTACTTAGGCTAAGTGGGCTAAGTCGCTTAGACAGCTTCAAACCTAAGTCCCCTAAGTGACTTATATGTACATGTAACTACATTTTTTTTGAAGTATGTTGATTTTTTTGTAGCTCTATAATGAAAAAAGGTAATAGTAAAATGAAAGCATAACGCCAGAAAAATCAGCATGCAACGAAATTTTATCTCGCAAGTACGTGTGAAAAAAAGGTCACATATCTTTTTTGGTGGGTCGGTTGGATTCATGACCGTGCTCAAAATCATGAAGTTGTTTTAATATAGTTACACAGGACCATGTTTGGTATATAGATCAAAGTATATAATGAAATGGACACATATAGTAGTGAACCAATATTGAAACACTCATGCATGTTTTCCAGACAAACCTGCGAGCATAGTGCCCGCTAGGTCAGGCCAGCGAGCCAAGCCCGGCTGCAGCCTTTTCAACCCTTGGTATTTTCAAGTAATAAAATAAAAACAATGCAATAAGGAAAATGTCATCAATGGATTGATCAAAATGATGTTTTGTAGCTATATACCAGCCAGCAAATCCACATGTCATATATCCACACGCCTGCATGTAAACCAAACATGTCTCATTATAGCAAGGCCAACATGTCTATATTTAACACATGTGAAATATCCATCCAACCCAACAACAACACCACGATCCTCAGAGAAAAGTTGTAACGAAGTCGATGGACACGATGAAGCACCTGCGCAGGAGAGACAAGGGGCAAGAGAGAACTTGTTTGATGAAGAGAGAACTTGTTTGATGAACAAACGTCAAATCAGGAAAACACATGCCCAAATTTGCTGCTATTTTTCTTGCTGCGTCGATGCGTCCGAAATCCTTATTTAAAGGATCGGAAAGGTTCTATATGGATAGATTGCATGGCCTGCACCCATTGCAAACAGCTTCGCCTGCAACTGTGGCAAGGTCACGCCACGCACCCATGGCCACAAAGCTTCGCCTGCACGGCATGGCCAACAAGCTATCTTCGCCTGCAAGGCAAGTGCGGCTATTCAGGCTATTCCGAGTGAGCTCCTTTGTGCACCTACTATTCCTCCAGCAACGTCCATGGGATCTCTTCAATCACCTCCTTCGTAGTGTCAACCAAGGCCAAAGGTTCCGAGGCTTCACAAGGAGGCAACGCCAACCCTCGGTCGCAAGGGAAGGTGCGCCCAAACTTCGTGGGGCGGGAAGCCACGGTGAAAGTCCGCACCACACCTTCGAACTCGCTCTTGAAGAGGCCCTTAGATCCGGGCAAAAACACAAGCACAGCTTAAACAGCACTTTTGCGCATGAAAATGTCTGCCACAGCTTGTGTTTTTTTAAATATATTTGATGAAGCAACCAAGGCGCAGCACCTTGGTACTTAAAGTCCAGGTTCCACAGCGTGCAGCCATGTTCGCAAGCAAAGCCCCGGAGCTGGATAGTCCAAGACTCTCCATCTTGGACTGCACCCCACATGCCGCACGAGCCAAAGACGTACTTCTTGCTCCTAAGAGTAAAGCCAAAAAAGGCAAAGCAAGACACAACCACCATGCATGAGTTAAACCACACTATATATACCCCCAATTTTGAAAAGAAAACAAAGCAAAAATCCTGAGCAATGATAAGACACTTTCGGGTGCGGCGAAGGAATCCCACTGCAGAGGCACCGGAAAAGAAGATATATTCGTGCATGCGATGTGAGTCCATGTGCTGGTACTTGGCCACTACAATGTCTGACAAATCTCCGAAGTCCTTCACGTAGCACTGCAGCCATGCGTTGTCATCCATGGGCACGGAGGTCATGGCTCTATATAGGGAATGTCAGTGAGCGAGTCTTGGGCCAAAAAAACTTACAGTTGTTTACGCTCACTGGTATTGCCTCACTCATTTCCACATATCGAAAACAAGTTCAACAATGCAGCTGCAGCATTGGGGGTGCACCTTAGTCCTATAGAAGCCAATGACTTGTAGTTCACCTGGCAAGACCGAGGAGATTCATGATTAAGACTGGTTGTATTTAAACACCGCCTATATACGGAGCATGCGAGCGAGGCCCGACAATGCCACAAACGCGAGCAAAGCCCGCGGTCGTTGGTGAAAAGATCCAAAAGCACAGCTGGTTTGGTCCAAATGGCTTGCAAACCTTGTACATGACTTGCATGCATGCAGTGCATGCATCTCATGCAGGCACGTTGAAATGGATATATATATATATATAATCCTTAAGCCAACCAACAACAAACCAACCACAAGAGGTGAGATACACCAGGCTGACATATACTCTGACGAACCTGGCATATACTCTGACATATATTCAAATGGAAAACATTGATTTCACACCGGCTACGTCGACATGCCATGTCTGATTTGTTCCTACTCAAATCCCAAACTGCGGCCAGAGTGGTTTAACCAACAGAAGAATGTCTGAGAAGTGAGCTCCGATAAAGCAACAAACACAAGAGTTAATTCTAAATAAATAAACCGTTGTCTTTTCAATTTCTGTATGTGAGAGATGCTTCTATATGTGCTGCTACCCACCAATGCATCTAGGATGAGAAATGAAATCAATCCATGCAACTACATGCGCAAAAGCAATCAGCAGCCTTATTCACTGTCGGCGAATTCAAAAAAGTCAAGTGTAGATGACAAAGTCTCAGACAGTTCTGCTTGACTTATGCGGATGCACTATGGTGAGACAGGAAGCATTCCGCGCATCAACAAGTCTCAGACAGTTCTGTTTGACTTATGCCGATGCACTTCATTTTGAAATCGAAAAAATCTGCGGTACCAGGGCTCTAGCTTTGCCAGAAGTTGAGCCACTTTTCGACATAGCAACGTTCTCCAAGATCGTGCAAATCTTGAACCAAAAAGCTACGATTGATTCGTTTCTCGATTTTTCGTCTCTACATTTTCCCCTGAATCCAACAGACGCAAACAAGAATCACATCAGCACAAAGTTCGTGAGACACCCAACATTCCCAAGCCAGGGACGTCTTTGGAGCCACAAGCAAAAAAAGTGTTGCATGCCTTGGAAATTGACAAAAATCAACAGCTTCGATGAATTCACTATATTGGTGGTATGTGGTGTTTCGATGGTGTTTTCAAATAAGGGCAATCATGGCGGCAGCCCGGTGTGTGTCTTCTCACATATTATGTGGAAGAGTGTAACAATTTTGATTTGCGTTGAGTTACGCTGAGTCCACTGCGAATCCAAGCTTGTTTTGCGTTGAATTACACTGAGTCACGCTGCGTGCAATAACATTCCTGCGTCCCTGAGCTTCTGCGCCAAAGCTAGAATGTGTAGCTTCACAGCATCCAAATGGTGACTGCCTCAGGCAGAACTGGTACAGAACTGTTGCACTGTCACTAGGTTCCGAGCTGCGATTCCTGCGGCATGTCAATGACGAGGTCGAATGCTATCGATTGTAACATATTCAATGCAAAAACTCTGCAAACTTGTAGCACGATGCGAAGTCTGAGTGCTGCGCAACTTGTAGCGACCCGGGGGCGGTTGCATGCTTGAACCCCAATACAACACATTTGCAACTTGCAACGTAACTTCACGATGCGACTTCTGAGTGCTACGCATTTCGGTCAGCTCAACAGACCCTTTTACACACAGACACTTTTACACACAGAAGCTTTTACACACAGACACTTTCACACACAGAGAATTTTACACACAGACGCTTTTACACACAGAAGCTTGTACACACAGAAGCTTGTACACACAGACGCTTTGACACACAGACGCTTTGACACACAAACGCTTTTACACACACACACACTTTTACACACAGAAGCTTTTACACATAGACACCTTCACACACAGACACTTTCACACAAAGAGACTTTTACACACAGACGCTTTTACACACAGACGCTTTTACACACAGAAGCTTGTACACACAGAAGCTTGTACGCACAGACGCTTTGACGCACAGACGCTTTGACACACAAACGCTTTTACACACAGACACTTTTACACACAGAAGCTTTTACACATAGACACCTTCACACACAGACACTTTCACACACAGAGACTTTTACACACAGACGCTTTTACACACAGAAGCTTGTACACACAGAAGCTTGTACACACAGACGCTTTGACACACAGACGCTTTTACACACAGACGCGTTTACACACAGACGCATTTACACACAGAAACGTTTACACACAAACACTTTTACACACAGACGCTTTTACACACAGACGCTTTTACACACAGAACCTTTTACACACAGACGCTTTTACACACAGACGCTTTGACACACAGACGCTTTTACACACAGACGCGTTTACACACAGACGCTTTTACACACAGAAGCGTTTACACACAGACGCTTTTACACAAAGACGCTTTTACACACACACGCTTTTACATACCTCAGTTTTTGGCGATCGAGCCTCATTTCGTGCGAAAGGGTTGTCGCGGACATTTCAAAATCGTAATTTTACCGGAGTTTTTGGCGATCGAACCTCATTTCGTGCGAAAGGGTTGTCGCGGACATTTCAAAATCGCAATTTTACCCCAGTTTTTGGCGATCGAACCTCATTTCGTGCGAAATAGTTGCCACGGAAGTTGTTAAATCGCAATTTTACCTCAGTTTTTGGCGATCGCACCTCATTTCGTGCGAAAGGGTTGCGCGGGACAACTTGCAACTCGCAATTTCACCGCAGTTTTTGGCGATCGAACCTCATTTCGTGCGAAAGGGTTGCGACCGACACTTCAAAATCGCAATTTTACTTCAGTTTTTGGCGCTCGAACCGCATTTCGTGTGAAAGGGTTGCGACCGACACTTCAAAATCGCAATTTTACTTCAGTTTTTGGCGCTCGAACCTCATTTCGTGCGAAAGGGTTGCGACCGACACTTCAAAATCGCAATTTTACTTCAGTTTTTGGCGCTCGAACCTCATTTCGTTCGAAAGGGTTGCGACCGACACTTCAAAATCGCAATTTTACTTCAGTTTTTGGCGATCGAACCTCGTTTCGTGAGAAAGGGTTGCGTTTCGTGCCGTCTCGTTGGCACTGCCCCGCGCCATCAAGAGAGAAATAGAAAAGACGGAGAGAGCAAGAGGGCAAGAGAGCAAGAGGGCAAGAGAGCAATAGGGCAAGAGAGCAAGAGGGCAAGAGAGCAAGAGGGCAAGAGAGCAAGAGGGCAAGAGAGAATGTGAATATGTGAAGATGTGAAGATGTGAGGATGTGAAGATGTGAAGATGAGAAGATGTGAAGGTGAGAAGATGTGAAGATGTGATGTGAAGATGTGATGTGAAGATGAGAAGATGTGAAGATGTGAGGATGAGAAGATGTGAAGATGTGAAGATGTGAGGATGTGAAGATGAGCAGATGTGAAGATGAGAAGATGTGAGCATGAGCAGATGTGAAGATGAGAAGGTGTGAAGATGTGAGGATGTGAAGATGTGAGGATGTGAGGATGAGAAGATGTGAAGACGTGAGGATGCGAGGATGAGAAGATGTGAAGATGTGAGTATGTGAAGATGAGAAGACGTGAAGATGTGAGGATGTGAAGATGAGAAGATGTGAAGACGAGCAGATGTGAAGATGAGAAGATGTGAAGATGAGAAGATGTGAGGATGTGAGGATGAGAAGATGTGAAGATGTGAGAATGTTTGACAGACCCCCACTATTAGAAGAACCCTTCGCTCAGACGCCCTCGCGAAAAACAAAGGAATAGACAAAACATGAAACACGTAACCCTAAAACCCTAGATCTTAAACCTCAAAGTCTGTGAAACATTTTACAGGTTTTGGCAAGCGAAACGTTGTGTTTGTGCGTAAAAATGCACATATATATATATATATATATATGGTACCCCCCCCCCCCAAGACCTACCGATTTCACAAAAGTACTGGTATTTACAGTAAAATTTGCTATTTTTGGTATGTAATTTTGGATTCCGGGATTTGGGGGATGTTATATAGTGTATATATACATATATATATATATACATAGAGGATTCAAGCCTTGAATCCAACCCTCGTGGGAATCTTGGATCTTGGATCTTGAATCTTGCAAAGCATGCATTCAGAATGCATTCTTTCGGCAGGATTCAAGATTCAAGATTCAAGATTTCTGGGGACTCTTTGGAGCAAATCTTGAATCCGGATTCAAGATTCAAGATTCAAGATTTCTGGGGACTCTTTGGGGCAAATCTTGAATCCAGGATTCAAGATTCAAGATTTCTGGGGACTCTTTGGAGCAAATCTTGAATCCAGGATTCAAGATTCAAGATTCAAGATTTCTGGGGACTCTTTGGGGCAAATCTTGAATCCGGATTCAAGATTCAAGATTCAAGATTTCTGGGGACTCTTTGGGGCAAATCTTGAATGAGGATTCAAGATTCAAGATTTCTGGGGACTCTTTGGGGCAAATCTTGAATCCAGGATTCAAGATTCAAGATTCAAGATTCCTGAGGACTCTTTCCAGCAAATCTTGAATCCAGGATTCAAGATTCAAGATTTGCCCCAAAGAGTCCCCAGAAATCTTGAATCTTGAATCTTGAATCCGGATTCAAGATTTGCCCCAAAGAGTCCCCAGAAATCTTGAATCTTGAATCTTGAATCCGGATTCAAGATTTGCCCCAAAGAGTCCCCCCAGAAATCTTGAATCTTGAATCTTGAATCCAGGGGGTGGATTCAAGATTTGCTCCAAAGAGTCCCTAGAAATCTTGAATCTTGAATCCTGCCGAAAGAATGCATTCTGAATGCATTCTTTGCAAGATTCAAAATCCAAGATCCAAGTTTCCCACAAGACTTTTGATCA